TAAATAAATATAAATAAATATAAATAAATATAAATAAATATAAATAAATATAAATAAATAAATATTAATGTTGATAAACAAGTACATATAGATAAATGTCTTACTTGAAATAGATATGTGTATATGTATATAAATATAAAGATATAAATATATATAAATAAATTAATATAAATATAATAAATAAACTAATTAATAAATTAATAGATTAATAAATATATATATATACAGATAAATATAAATAAATATAAACAAATAAATATAAATATAAACAAAATAAATAATCATCGCCGAAAAAGATAAAGACACAAAACGTGAAGAAGAAAGCAAATAAATAATTAAATAAATAAATATTAATATATTTAAACAAACCAACAAACAAACAAACAAACAAATTAACACATAAAAACAAAAAGAAATATAAACAAGCAAAGACTATATATATAAATATATATACATATATATATATATTTATTTATTTATCTAGATAGATATATATATAAGTATATTATAGAGAGAGAGAGAGAAAAAGAAAGAGAGAGGAGAAAAAGAGAAAGAGAAGGCAACTGTCTAGGGTTTAGGGTTTAGGGTTTAGGGTTTACGCCTGTGGATTGACGACTCGTATTTCGCCAGCTATTTCTTCGTGTCTGAGTTTAGCTACAGGAGTACTTAAAATTACTTCAATAGCAAAAGAAAGCAGCTGCTCAATGTCTTCTGTATGCGGCTCCCTAAATAAACTGTCAGAGCAGACAAACCCTCGTCGCTGCAGTTCCTTCTTTATCTCTTCTAAAGACATCCTGCTGCTGCTGCTGCTGCTGCTGCTGCTGTTGCTGCTGCTGCTGCTGCTGTTTATTAGGCCCCCACCCGCTTCACTCGCGAAAAATGAAGTCACACGCTGCTGCTGCTGCTGCTGCTGCTGACGCAGAGGAGAAGACACTGCTCCGTATATAGAGAGGTGCTGCTGCTGCTGCTGCGGCTGCTGCTGAAGCTGATGCTGCTGCTGCAGCAGCTGCGGTGAAGCCCCCCCTGTCATGCCCGGCTGCTGCAGGGAGGCCCCTATAGAATAGAAAGCGAATGAAGGGGGCTGTCGAGGGTACGGCGTGAGGCTGAGCTGCTGCTGCTGCTGCAGTTGCTGCAGCTGCTGCAGCTGCTGCTGTTGCTGCAGCTGCTGCAGCTGCTGCTGCTGCAGTTGCGGCTGCTGCAGTTGCGGCGGTTGTAGAGAGCCCATAACTGCCACAGGCGAAGCGGAGACTGCTGCTGCTGTTGCTGCTGCTGCTGCTGTTGTTGCTGCTGCTGCTGTTGCTGTTGCATTTGGGGTGGTGGCTGCGCCCTGAAGTGAAGCAGCAGCAGGAGACGCAGAAGCTGAGATTGGTATTGTAGAAGGCGGCGCAGTAGCAACTGGATACAGAGACGGCTGCTGCTGCTGCTGCTGTTGCTGCTGCTGCTGGGGTGCTGCATCAGTGAAGGACTGCTGCGTTGGTTGAGACGGCAGGTAGTCGCTGTGCTGCTGCTGTTGCAGCAAATGCTGCTGCAGCAGCAGCTGCTGCTGCGCGCTGGGCTGAGCCATACCTACAGAAAAGCCCCTGGCTGCTGCTGCCTTTGCTGCTGCTGCTGTTCGGAAGGCTCTAAACCCTAAACCCTAAACCCTAAACGCTAAATACTCAATTCTTGCGTGCAGATGCAAGGCGCCAAGGCTAAGCCGAGCCAACCAAGCAGTGCAGCAGCAGCAGAAGCAGCGCGTAGGATTTGTTTTGATTGGTTTTGATAAGATAAACAGCAGCAGCAGGAGCTGGCGTCTCCCCCTGTGCGTTGAGCACCAATAAGCTGCAGTAGGTAATTATAAAAGAGAAAATATTTAAAAAGAAGAAATAAATCTGCTGCTAAACAGCTGATCTTGCGGTGTACGTGCAGCAGGGTGTTGCGGTTGGTGGTGCTGCAGGTTTGGGTGGCCGCTGCAGCTGCGGTGTATGTACAGCTGAGTATATATTCTGTAAATAAAGACAAAAATAAAACAAAATATAATATTTAAACATATAAAATACAAATATTAATATTCAGACAAACACCTCTCATCTCTTTTGCTGTTGAGGGTGGGTCTTGGGGGCCCCTCTACCTCTAACGGGGGCCCCCTAGAATTTGTATAAAGATCAGCTGCTGTTTATTAGACAAAGTTAATTGAATTTCTTTATTTTTTATTTTTTTATTTCTTTTTATTGTTTAATTAAACCTCTTTTTACCTGCAAAGACACCCCACAGCTTCAAACATCACTCAAACACCGCCTGCAAATATCTCCCGGAGGGGCCTCCAATTAAACTCTCATCTTCTTTTCCTTCAAAAACAATCTGATAAGAACTCACTCGCTGTTTCATAATGATTAAACCCTAGGGTTTAGGGTTTAGGGTTTAGGGTTTAGGGTTTAATGCTTAGGGTTTCGGGTCAAGAGTTTGGGGTTTAGGGTTTAGGGTTTAGGGTTTAGGGTTTTTTGCAAGTCTAATGGAGAAGTCACTCCGTCAGCAGCAATGCAGAAAGGTTATTTAACTAGGGGCCTCATAGGGGGGCCCCCCGGGGGCCCCCCTGGGGGCCCCCTTGGAGGCCCCACTGGGGGCCCCCTTGGGGGCCCCCCTAAAGGATTAATAAAGAGACACCTGAAGGGGGCCCCCTGGTGGCCTTGCCAGCATATGGAGGGGCCCCCTAGGGGGCCCCCTAGAGGGTTTATAGGGGTCCCCATGGGGGACCCCCTAATAGGGTCTAGAGAGGGGGCCCCCAGGGGCCCCTATAGAGGATCTATTAGAAGGAGGGGGCCCCTAGGGGGCCCCCGGAGGCCCCTGATGTTTGTAAGGTATAATATTTATGTTTATATTTTTGTTTTATGTTTTTTCTGTTTGTTTTTGTTACTAACACTGCATGCGCATGTAGGGCTTTGCATGCGGCAGCAGCAAAGCTTGGGGGCCCCCCTTTCAAAGGGTTTCTTGTCTTTAAGGGGCCCTCAAAAGAGAAAAGCGAGTCATAACTATATTTTATCTTATACAGGTCTTCCTATGGGGGTAAGGGGGGCCCCCAGACACCAGGAAGGGTACACCTGCAGCGGAGAGAGGGGCCCCCAGGGGGCCCCTACAAGCACGCATATAGCTGCGCAGCGCATCGCGCAGCATTATTTAAAGAGGATTGCATATTTACCTCCTATGTTTGCTGCTGATGGTGCTGCTGCTGCTGATGCTGCAGGAGCAGAAGGAGCAGCAGGAAAGATGCTTCCTGCTGCTGCTGCTGCTGCAGCATGTGGGGTCCCCTCGCAGCTAATGCAAACAGCTAATAATTTTTGTACTTATCAAACATTTGCGGAGACAATACCTAAAAACGAAGAGTCTCCTTTGCTTAAGAAGGCCCCCCCTCCACCCGACTGGCTTATTCTTCAAGAAGGAAAGGTAAGGGTTTTCATCTGTCCATACACCCCAAAACCCTAAACCCTAAACCCTAGCCATGCCCCAATCCCTCTACTTACCGTTGACGCCCCTGTTTCTTACTCTAAACCCTTAAAAAAAACTTTAGGGTTTACGGTTTACGGTTTAGGCTCTAGGATTTAGGGTCTAGGGTTTGGGGTCTAGGGTTTAGGGTTTAGGGTTTAGGGTTTGTGCAGCTTCTGAAGCGGTTTATCGCTATGGGAGAGGGCGAGGAGACCCCCAGCATTAGCTGCAACTGCACTTTGCTTTTTTCTGTCTTTTCTTCTTCTGGTTTGAAACTTCTTACAAATAAATCTATGGGCGTGGAGTACCTTGAAATGCCGATCGTCAGTATAAACCCTAAACCCTAAACCCTAAACCCTAGAAAACCCTAAACAGTAGAATTGCCGATCGTCAGTATAAACCCTAAACCCTAAACCCTTGACAGAAGCCACCAACGCGTGGAGGCTGACTGGCGGTTAGGGTTTAGGGTTTATGATTTCTCGGGTGTATGATATCTAGGTTTTAGGGCTTTCATGGTTTATAGGGTTTAGGGTTTAGGGTTTAGGGTTTAGGGTTTGTGTGTATAGAAGAACGCCGCTCCTGGGGTTCGTGAGGCCTTGCTAACAATGCGACTAAATGAAAGAGCAGCATTTCTGCTGTCTCCTTCTTTATTTTACCCTGATAATACTTCTCCTTTGCTGCTTCCTATTAAAGAGACAGCAGCAGCAAAAGAAGCAGAGACAGCAGCAGAATCAAAGGGGCCCCTTAGGGGCCCCCTTAACCCACGCGGCCGCCTTCCCTTAGAGCACCAAGAAAAAATCAAGCTGCTGCAGCAGAAAATGCTGCTGCTGCAGCAGCAGCAGCAACAGCAACAGCAGCAGCAACTGGAGCAGTACGACGACGCCAGCGTTCTTCAACTCACGGGGAAGGAATGGCTTATGTAAGCAGCAGCAGCAACAGCAGCAGCAGCAGCAGCAACAGCAGCAGCAGCAACAGCAGTATATATGAGATATATTTTAGCCCCCGTCGGTTTGCTGATGTCTCTGTTGCTTTTTGTGCTGCTGCTGTAACTGCTGCTGCTGTAACTGCTGCTGCTGCGTTTGTTGCTGCTGCTGCACCTTCTGTTGCCGATGCCCTTGCTCCTGCTGCTGCTGCTGCTGCTGCTGTTTGTGTATAGGTTGGATATAACTTTGTGCAGCTTTTATGACAGCAGCAGCAAGTGGTGGGGCCTATCTCCTCACGACTTAAATTCTTTATCTCTTTCTCAAGAAGAACTGCCGACGCAAAAAACACAAAAACAAATAATTGATGAAAAGACAGACATCCTCAAACAACAAATTCACGTACTTGTCCTCGCTCCAAACCCTAAACCCTAATAAACCCTAATAAACCCGAGCAAACCCTAATTAACCCTAATAAACCCTAGTAATCCCTAATAAACCCTAATAAACCCTAATAAACCTTATCAAACCATAATAAACCCTAATAAACCCTAATAAACCCGAGCAAACCCTAATAAACCCTAATAAACCCTAATAATCCCTAATAAACCCTAATAAACCCTCATAAGCATTAATAAACCCTAATAAACCCTTATAAACCCTAATAAACCCTAATAAACCCTTATAAACCCTAATAAACCCTAGTAATCCCTAATAAACCCTCATAAACATTAATAAACCCTCATAAACCCTAAACTCTCACACAAACTCTACACTGCTGTCGACAAGCCCTAACTTTAGACACTGAAACCCTAAACCCTAATCCTAAACCCTAAAGCCCTAAACCCTGAACTCCAAGACCCTATACCCTAAACCCTCAGCGCCCATGATACCCTTACACCTGGGGCGGCAACCCTAAACCCTAAACCCTAAACCCTAAACCCTTAGCACCCCCGATGCCTGCACTGATAGGACCCAAACCCTAAACCCTAAACCCTTTTGTGGTGCGCAAACCCTTGCTGCAGGATGAGATGGCTAGCAATCCTCTGAGTCCTTACTGGGATGATATTGAAGCAAATATGACTGCAGCACATCGGCAGCAGCAAGCAGGTGCCTATACACCCCAAGCAACAACCCCCTAATTGCTGTCTATATCTATATAGATATTTATTTTCTTATTTATTTATTTGTTTATTAATTTATTGAAATGTAGATAACCCATTCAATGCTTTTTCTTGCTGCGCTGATTGCCTCTTTACACTTCCAACCTGCACTTAACTCCCTGGCTAGCTAGCTAGCTAGCTAGCTAGCCAGCGAACTAGCGAACTAGCGAACCATCTATCTAGCTAGATAGGTAGCTAGCTAGCTAGTTGGAGTAGGGTTTATGTATGAATTGCGGAACAGCGCCTGCAGCAGCAACTACCAACAGAAGAGACAGAGCTTTCTGCTCTTGCTGCTGCTGCTGCTGCTGCTGCTTCTTCTTTTTTCTTTCTGCTGTTGCTGCTGATGCTGCTCTCTGCTTCTGCTGATGCTGGTGTTTGCGTTTGCTGCAGCTGTTATGACTGTTAATACTGCTATTGCTGCTGCTGCATGCATGGATGTGTGCATGCAGAGTATTTAGAAGACTTGTACAGTGATGGAGGCTACGAAAAGAAGTACTCTCGGGGTTATGCAGAAGCAAAAGAGAAGGAGACAATAAATGCAGCAGGGTTTGAGTTTGGTCCGCGTCTAGAGGGTGTCTCCTCTAACTATGCTTGGAAGGAGACAGCTAGTTCTTTCGAGTTGCTGCTGCTGCTGCAGCCAGGGATAGCTCCTCAATTCCTTCAGCCAGTGCTGCACCCGCGAGACTTTCAACTTAATATACTCGGAAAAACAGTAATACATTGCTGCTGCTGTTGCTGCTGCTGCTGCTGCTGCTGTTGCTGTGTAACATATATATATATATATGCATTTAGATATTTATTAATGCATGCGAACATCCCTACATATATGAACCAGTAGCCATTTAAATAGGTCTATTTGCGGTGTATGCATTTGGGGTGTATGCATGTGGGGTGCATGCATTTGGGGTGTATGCATTTGGGGTGTATGCATGTGGGGTGCATGCTTGTGGGGTGCATGCATTTGGGGTGTATGCATGTGGGGTGCATGCATTTGGGGTGTATAGGTATTTAAGGATTCCTTCCTCTACACAATCGACGCCTCAGCGGGCCCCAACTGGACCTTGACAGAAGCAGTACACAAACCCTAAACCCTAAACCCTAAACCCTAAACCCTAAGAGCCGGGTTAATGGAAATCCTTACAGAGGTTTCCCCAGGGCCTCGGGGGGCCCCATGGGGCCCCCAAAAGGGGGCCCCCTTGGGCCCCCTAAAAGGGTACTGGGGCCCTCTGGGGGCCCCCACAAGGGTAGTGGTGGCCTTTAAGAGGGTACTGGGGGCCCCTGGGGGCCCCTAAGAGGGTACTGGGGCCCCGCAAACTCTGCATGCATGCACTTACGGTGCCGAATGTCTGATGTGTTGATGGTTTGGCGTTGCTTTGTGCGTTTCGTTGTTTTCTTTCAGTGCCTCCTCTTTGGGTTTTAGGGTTTAGGGTTTAGGGTTTAGGGTTGTTCGTTTGCGTTTGTCTCGTTTGTGTCTTCCGTCTCTCCTTTTCTTTTCAGCTTGCTGCTCTGCCTGCTTTAAGCCCGTTGTTTTTATTGCTTTTCTTGCTGCTGCTGCTGCTGCTGCTGCTGCTCTATTCAGGCCTCTGCTCACAAGCCCCTCTCCCGCACTGAGGTGGAGAGCCTCTTGGAGTCTGCTGCAGCAGCAGCTGAGAGTGCAACTGCAGCAGCAACATCAGCAGCAGCGGGAACGCCATATTCTGCTGCACTTGCCGCAGCCCACAACAGCACCAGCAGCAGCAGCAACAGCAGCAGCAGCAGCAGCAGCAGCAGCAGCGGGGGCTCCACGGTGCCGCACCCGCACACGGGTTTGCCTGTACCTCGAGGGTTTGTTTGCTCGGGTGTATTGGGGTCTGTGCCGGAGGACGCCACCGGCTTAGATGAACTTCGCAAACTACCAGCCATTGTCTTCGTCTTCAACAAAGCGAGGAGCTCCAGAGGAATGTGGGGCTCCTGCTTCGTCTCCGTCTAGCTAGTTACAGCTAGCTATAGCTAGCTACAGCTAGCTGTAACTAGCTGTAGCTAGCTGCCTAGCCAGCTACAGCTAGTTGTAGCTGTACCTAACTGGCTGGCAAGGACAACTGTCAGTTTTAATATGGCTAGCTAGCTAGTTAGCTAGCTGGCCTGCAACCCGGCTAGCTGTCATTTGCTAGCTAGGGCTAGCTAATGAAAGCTAGGGCTAGCTAGCTAGCCAGTGCTAGCTAGCTAGTCACAGCGGCAATATCATTTGATGCACATGCATCTGCATGCATGCAATGCATGCAGCCAACTTAAAATGTGAAATGTCTCATATATAAGATAAGAATATTATATTATATATATTAGATAATAAACTGTAATGTTGCAAGCAACAAAGAAGCCAGCTGCGTCTTTAGTACCGAATGCGTTCTGATAAATCTTGGGGTTTAGGGTTTAGGGTTTAGGGTGCGTATACTGGTCTGAGTCAAACCAAAGTGTTGAAAACAAATCACAATTCTGCTGTCTACCCCTTAAAATGTGAAATGTCTCATATATAAGATAAGAATATTATATTATATATATTAGATAAGAAACTGTAATGTTGCAAGTAACAAAGAAGCCAGCTGCGTCTTCAGTACCGAATGTGTTCTGATAAATCTTAGGGTTTAGGGTTTAGGGTTTAGGGCGCGTATACTGGTCTGAGTCAGACCAAAGTGTTGAAAACAAATCACAATTCTGCTGTCTCCCCACGTATACAACAATTGCACCGAGGAGCGCTGTACTTCCTAGTAGCAGACTCCGTCTTAATCAACCCCTGAGGCCCTTGTGCTGCTGCGCAGAGGACACCTTGAGATTAAAGACGAAGATCTTGTTTATTATGCTGTAGGGGGGGAGCTGGTATATATAAACACCGCGCATGCAAGGCGATCCAGCACATGTTAAGGGTTTTATTCGATGAGAATATATACATATTTTAGGTAGAAAAGTCAATGTTTTTGTGCGGAATCTTTCAAAGACAATTCTAAATGAGAAGAAGATCAGCATCAATATGCAGCATGCACCACTTGCTTATACACCTTGAACGCGAAATATGCGAATACTGATTGAAGAAAATCGCAGAAGATGTTTGTTTTTATGTTAAATTTAGGCATAAATGCATTAATTTAATTATTTTTATAATTAAAGATTGCATTCGATGCTCCTTTTTACAGGACAACAGCAGTTTCAGCTCAAACAGAGCCCCGTGATACAACAGAACACGACGAATGAGAGAGCAGAAACTGCGCTTTTATTTTCTCTTTGAGGGCTGTATTTGAATATTACAAATTATTAACATTGTCTTATGAACGAGATTCCACAGAAATGAATATTCAAAAGCGTTCTGCTTCAAGGTTTCTTCAGCAGTGTCTGCTCACCTTTGCGCGAAGAAACCTCTTTGGTTCTGAATTGTTTAGTTTTATTGCATGAAATACATTTTAATTCATTGCATTTTAATATTGTGAAAGAGCTATGGAGTCAACTTGCAAGATAATAGCTGGCGAATTCAATTCGTCGCGGCTTTCCTTCTTTTTCATGAATCATTTCCGTTTCAGTTCAACCTGAAATCCTCGTATTTCAACATCATAGGAAGTTTCTCGTTTATTTACTGCGCAACAATAGTACTTGGATTCCTGTCATGTAAATATTTCCTTAGACTCCCCAGACTTGAATAATCTTTCTTCGTTGTTTCCTTCATTAAGTTCGTTGGCGGCTTACTTCCTTCTACAGGCGGTGGGTGCACTGAGCCCTGTGTTGTTGGTTTACCCCAGATGCTGTCGCCACATTAGGGTGAAGACATTCGATCTGCCTGAAGAGAAAGGGCTTTAAACCTGGCTTTCTTTCTGTTCTTTCACTTAGGTTTCAGCCTCTGCATTCCCTGGCGCGTGCTGCCTCTCTCCCTCCCACTGAACTCTTTCTATCAAGACCCGATTACCGCAACTCCGCAGCATCAGCATCAGCCTCAGCATCAGCATCAGCATCAGCAGCAACAGCAGCAGCGGAGGCAGCAACAAGGGCAGCAACTGCAGCATTGGCAGCAGCCTTCCAATCATTTTTTCTGTTTGATTTCAGCGTTTGCTGCCTCTTTCTTTCTTTCGTTTCGCCATGAGAGTTCTGAAGCGTGTGCGGCAGCGAGAAGGCGTGAGTTTGCGTGTGCTGCTGGAAGATGCTGATGACGTTTGGTTTTTATATAACTTCATTTCAGAAGGCGACTGCGTAAGAGCTACAACCATAAGGAAGGTGCAGAAGGAAACAGCAGGTGGAGGAGTTTCTAGTGAGACCCGCAGAGTTCAGCTTTCAATTAAAGTAAATGCATGCGACTTTGAAGGGGCTGCTGCAAGACTGCGAATTTCTGGTACTGTATGTGCCGAGACACCCCACGCAAAGATGGGAGCTCACCATACACTTGAGATCGGTGTGACGGATGAGATTTCAATTTTAAAAGAGCAAATAGATGCAGAACATGAACGACAGTTAAAGGAAGCTACAGATACAGCTGCAAAGGCCGAGGCACTCGTGCTGCTGCTGCAGGGGGGTCTAGCAAATTTGTTCAGCGTGAGCAGCCAGCTGTCTCGCTTGCTCACCCGAATAGAGGTATCTTTACCTAAGAACAGAGGTGCGTATGCTGGTTATAACAAATCTTTACTTCGTTTCTTTAGGGAGACAACGGATGCATTAAACCTGCATGTAGACTGGCAGCAGCTGAAAGCGCTGGTAATAGGGGGCCCAGGGTTTTATAAAGAGCAGTTTCTAGATTTCTTTATGAAGGAGGCGCAGCAGCAAGATAAGAAGCAGATCTTGCAAAAGAAACAGCTTATTATCCTTGTGCATGCATCTTCAGCATATAAGCATGCACTTACAGAACTTATGGGGGACCCCTCTGTTCGTCGCCTCCTCGCAGACACCCGAGCTGTTAAACAAGCTGCATATATTGATCAGCTGTATCGCATGCTAAACAATTCCTACCAGAAGCACCCCAGCCATCAGCAGCAGCAGCACCTAGGCGCATGCAGCAGCAGCAGCAGCAGCAGCAGCAGCAGCAGCAGTTATGAGCAGAGTTCTTTGGTTTGCTACGGCGCAGAAGAGGTGCGACGTGCTGCAGACACCGGAGCAATAAAGGTATTGATGGTTGGTGAGGCGCTGCTGCGCAGTGCATCAGTAAAACAACGTAGATTCTTCATTCAGTTGCTTCAAGATACAGCACAAGCAGGGGCAGAGACTCTTACCTTCTCAGAACAACACCCGACAGGAGAACAGCTAGCTCTCCTCGGAGGTGTAGCTGCTATTCTACGCTTCCCCCTCATGGAAGAGTATGAAGGCGACAACCAGCAGCAGCAGCAGTAGCTGCAGCAGCAGTAGCTGCAGCAGCAGTAGCTGCAGCAGCAGCAGTAGCAGCAACTGCAGCAGCAAAAGCAGCTGCAGAAGCAGCTGGATGCTGCTGCTGCTGCTGCATGCTGTGCTGTCGTTGCTATTCTACGCTTCTTCTTCGTGGAAGAGAAAGAGGACGAACATCAGCAGCAGCAACAGTAGCAGCAGCAACAGCAGCACCATGTTGCTGTTGCATGCTGCGCCGTTGCTGCTGCGGCGTGCTGCGGTGTCGCTGCAATTCTATGCTTCCCCCTTATGAAGGAGCATGATGACCAGCAGCAGTATCAGCAGTAGCAGCAGCAGCAACAGCAGCAGCAGCAGCATGCTGCTGCTGCTGCTGCAAAAGCACTGAATAGAAGCGAGAGAGACGCAGTAGCAGATAACATGATGGTTGCTGCCTCTTATTTTATTTTGTTTACAATCTTTTGATTTCTTTTTTACCTTTGTTTTGGGGGATGCATGCGTATGCAGTTTGTTTGGGGCTGCTGCAGAGACAGCAGACAGCTTATTAATTAATTAACAGAAACAGAGGCCCTCCCTCTCTCAGCTGCATGTACACCGCATGTGCACGCACATCCACCTAATAGATGCTAATACATTTATATATATATATATATATGTGTATCTTCATATATATATATATATATATATAGATGCATATTTATATCTTGCGCAGTGTAGAGGGTCAGCAGAAGAAGCCGAGGAGATAAGCAACAACAGAAAAATAAAAAATAAAATAGAGACGATTTAATGCAGACGCTCAAAGGGCATTGGGGTGTCTTTGAGGTCCCTATACACCGCAGAAAGCCATCATTAGCCACCTTCTTTTTATTCTTTTGTTTTGTCTTTGCTCGATTTTTCTGTTTCTCGTGTCATTTACAGCAACAGCAGCAGCAACAGCAGCAGCAGCAACAGCAACAGCAGCAACAACAGCAGCAGCAACAGCAACAGGAGCAACAGGCTTCGTTTAAATATCTACGCCTTCCCCTCAGATTGAATTTCTAGGCCTGCAAAGCTGCTACTGGTGCTGCTGCTGCTGCTGTTGCCCCAGCAGCAGCAGCAGCAGCAGCAGCAGAAGCAGCAGCACCAGTAGCAGCAAAGCTGAGAGATGCGGCAGCAGAAAGGCGCACAGCACATGCGACTATATAATGGCTGCGGGTTTGCTGAGTTTGTTCTGCGGTGTATATTGAGTTAGAGATAAAATGCGTAGTAGAAAATGCATCAATTGCAAATAAATGTATTGGGGTGTTAACCATACAGTAGCAGTCTCTGTCAAGAGTCAGCAAGAAATACTTTTAAAGATAAAGAAACTATAGAGATAGAAAGATAGGGATAGATAGATATAGAGAGATAGAGAGAAAAATAATATATATATGTATATATATGCATGTATGCATGTATGGATGTATGGATGTATAATGTATGCAAGCAAGCTAGTGATGCTCTAATAATAATTATAATGAACGAATGCCTATGGATTAATAGCAGAAATAAACAAAATAAACATATTAAAAGTATATTTTAATTTATTTTCTATCAAAAAAAGAGAAAATGCACAAGTATTTCAATGTATATAGACAGCCATAGTTATTAGGGGCCGCCCAAAGCGGCTGCTGTGAGGTGTATCTGCAGCTACGCATATCGCATTGAAATTTCTAAGAAGAAGATTGATATATTTCTTTGTTTTTCTCTATTGTTTTATATTAATATTATAAAATGCTTTATTTTAGTTGTAAATCGCTCAGAAAACTCTACTGCAAGTCTTCTACTGTGCTTGTCTTCGCTCATCTGTTTGCTCTCAGGTGTATTTTGAGCTGTTTGAAGACTGCAATAAGTTAAAAAATTGAAATTAATTTAATTTATATTTTTTGTATTTTGTTTGCACATTATGGATAGCACCAGGAGAAAGCGGAGAGCTGCATATACACCGCAAAAACCTTCATTGAGTCACTGGCCTGTTGCTGCAAGTCAAGGGGCTGCAGAAGATATAAAGCGCCTCCGTTTAAAACTCTCTGATCAGTCTCAGTATATTTTTGATGATGTCTATGAAACACCTCCTGCTGAGGAAGCCGCTTATCACCTCATAGCTGCGCACTGGGCAAGAGAAGAAGCAGCAGCAGCAGCAGCAGCAGCAGCAACAGCAGCAGCAGCAGCAACAGCAACAGCAACAGCAACAGCAGCAGGAACAGCAGCAGCAGCAGCAACAGCAACAGCAACAGCAACAGCAGCAGGGATGGAAGTAGAGCCTACAGAAATCAGCAGAGACCGTATGCAGAGTTGCTGTTCTGTTTCCCGTGCTGTTTCTTCAGCTTTATTATCATCATCTTCTTCAAGAGCTTCACCTGTATATACACCGTGGTTGAGCTCCCACCGAGACCCCTCAGCAGTTTCTGCTGCTGATGTGCAGCAGATATCTTTTTCTAAATATGTTTCTTCAGCAGCTGCAGATACACCCCATTCCTCTGAACTCTTGAATAATAATATTTCTAGCAGTTCCAGCAACAGCAAAGACTGTGCAGATATTAACAAACCCTCTTCATCTTCTCTTCCTCCTCCTGCTGCTGCTGCTCGTTCTGCTGCTTCTGCTGCTGCTGCTCCTGCTGCTGCTGCTGCTGCTCCTGTCTTGCTAGGATTTGAGTGGAAGTACTGCAGCCCTCGGGTGTCTTCGCTTGGGCACATGCAAGCCGATATGTATTATTAGCTGAAGCATATAAAATGTTTAAAAGAAAGAAGAAAGAAAATAATAAATAAAACAAAACAAAAGAAGTTAAGACATGACGCAGACAATCATTAAACTGCTGCTAGCGAAGCCCTTCGCATCAGCTACATACTTCTTCCGCCATCAACACAGCACACTCTACATTTATATATAAATAAATATATATATATATATATTTATATGTATTTATATTATCTGTTATATATATATATGTATATCTTTATGTGTGTGCGTTTGTTTGCTTGTCTGTGTGTATCTATATGTACGATTTATTTTCTTGTTTGTATATCTCTAACCCATAACAAATATATATATATATATATCAATAGAGATATATATATAGACAAATATGTCTAATATAATATGTATTGCATATATTATATGTACATTATATATATATGTGATTACACAATGCATATATGTATATTTATACATATATGTATTATAAAAAAATGTATATATGTGAAATTATATTTATAAACATATATATAACATAATATATATATGTTATGCATATGTATTATATAATATATAAATAAAATTATATTTATAAACATATATATAACAATATATATTTGTTTATATATCTTTCTCCGCTTCACTGTACGCAGTTGTTTGCTTAAGGCATAAAGGCAACATATTTGTTTTTTAAGAGCTTCATAAACATTGAGGCCTCTTTGTTATTTCTTCTTTCCGCTATGTACAGATTATAAACATTTGTTTATTATTTATAAAGCATTTGTTTATTATCTAAACATTTTTGTTTATTATTTAAGCATATACTGCAGACAAACTTAATTATTTAGTCTTTACCCCTTTTTTCTTCTTCTAAATGCAGCATTTACTGAGTTTAATAGATTAAATTAATTAATTTTATTTGTTATTACCCTTTAAAATCAATTAAAATTATACTTTTAAAAAATATTTTATAATATATTATTGCTGATGGTGTTGCTGCTGCTGCTGGGTCTGTGAAATGCGGCTGTCTCGGCGGTGGACTGCAGCTGTAAAGCGCTAATATCGATGAATACTTAGAAAAATAGAATATTAATTAATAAATAAAAGTAAATATTTAAAAATAAATCAAAATATTAGCTGAAAAGAACAGCAAACGAGTTGTATTGAGATACACCGCAAGAGCTGCAGCATCTGCGGCGACGGGCATTGAGAAGATTAGCAGCTCGTTTTTCTTCATTTTTCTTTTCAAGTTGAGTAAAATGCAATTAAATTATATTTTTAATTTAATTCTTCTTCTTTTCCTGCATTTTCTTCGCTTTTCTTCGTTCTTTGCTTAACGATGGCTCCCCAGCAACCGCAACAACAAGGCTCAGGGCCGCGCATAACAGCATCTGGAGAGTTCGTCTTGTATAAATAAAATAAATTTATTTAGTTTAATTATTAATTAAATAATTAAAATAGATCTATTGAATTTATTCCGCTGTTTTAATCTCAAAATAGGGTTGGTGTAGGTATTGCATGCTGTATCGACAGCTGCACATACACCGCAGCATACATGTATTAATTTTTTGTATTTTTTTCTGCTTTTTTCTCAGGATTATTTGGCCTGGTAGATCTCCAACTACGCAGCATCAAAGTGTTTCTATCCCTCCCTCTTCTGGTGCTTCTGCTGGTGCTGGTGGTGCTGGGTCTCAACGAGCAACAACAACTACGTCTTCTTCTACTTTCTTTTCTAGATGTGTTAATGCATGCAGAGGCCCCATATGCGGCTTCCCTCAATCCTCTGTGCAGTATCCAACGTCCGGAGAGCCGCCCTTTATATGGCTGCCTCCTTTTCTAGGGCTTGCTCCTATCTTCTGGTTTCTTATACTGGGTGCTCTTACTTCAGGGCTTATAGCGCATTTCTTAGCTTCAACTGTAAATCTTCTGCTGCTGCTTCTCTCTTTAAATACACAAATAAATATCTTTATGTTCATCCAGAGACAGACGACTGTGCCTGTCTTTATTTTATTTTATTTTATTTTATTTTGTTTTGTTTTGTTTAGATATAGTGGTTTTGCTTGTAGAGCAGCATTTTATATACGCAGATTCTTCTCGATACTTTGTCTTAAACCCTAAACCCTAAACCCTAAACCCCCTAAACCTGTTAAAAGCTGCGTTATTCCTCGTTGAATATTTCTCAGCCTCTATCTAGACCCTATCATTTATGTTTATTCTTTTGTATGTTTCTATTTATTTATTTATTTTACATATACATATACACGAATATGCATATATACATCTATAATATATATATATA